GGTCTTCATGGCCCCAAATCTATTCTACTACGATGCACAACCACTCACTTGGATCTACTGAGTCTCAGTTTCCTGCTCTATGAAATGGGAATGCTAATTTCCCCTCCAGGGGCGCTTGCGGCACAATGATTAAGTGCTGGCTGGTACTTGACAGGCCATCTGTTTAAACCCACCAGCTGCTTAGTGGGTATAACATGTGGCTCTCTGCCATTCTGAACCTCAGGGCCTTGGAAACTGTGGGTGCAGTTCTACTCTGTCCCATAGGGTCCCCGTGAGTCAGAATGGACTCCACAGTAATGTTTTTGTTTGTGGGGTTTCTTTTCCTAACGTGGGGACTGAGTGAGATGACTTGCAAAGGCGAGACCAGGAGACTGAGGCTCCGCATGGACCAGAAACCAACGGCCTTAGCGTGGCTTTGCTCTCAGGTCCTCAGGGTTCTTTCCCCACGTAGGGGGAAGTGTACTGAAGCAGAAGAAAATGTTGGGACCCGACAGACCTAGGTTCAAATCCCGACCTTTCTACCCATTGGATGCATTGTTTTCATGAAGCCCTGAGCTTCATTTGCTACTTCTCTGAGCTTCTTTCCTCGTGTGTAAAATAGAGCTAATCCTATGTCAGAGTCCCCACGTGATGCAAACCATCAGTGAGCTTACCTGTTAACTGAAAAAATGGGAGGTTTGCGTCCACCCAGAGGTGCCTCAGAGGAAAGGTCTAGCAATAGATCTGCAAAAGGGGTCATCGAGACCCCTATTCTGACAGACAGGAGATTATCTTGAGTCTCAGTCAATTGGTTTTATGTCGATGTCACAACATGCCATGAGGAGCAAATGTGTCAGCACAGTAGGTGCTTGGGTATAGGAGATGCTCAGCACACTGGAACGCCCTTCCTCTTATTCCTTTCCCCAGGTCCCCGAGGAGCCTCTGGGTCCAGCATACCCCCTATCCCTCCAGAGAGCCTCCAGGCAGAGCAAGTCACTAGTCCAGTGTCCTTTGGGAAACAGAGAACATTCCTAGGAGGAAGGAAACATGGAAACAGCCAGGTTATCTGGCTTCAGCCTCCTGGCCAAGTTCTGACTCTTTGAATGCTCTCCCAGGAGAAAGGGGGCAGAGAAGGAGTCCGACAGGGTCCTACTACATGGAGACTCAGAGAAGAAAATGCACCAACTTGCACCTTCCACTGATAGAAGGGAGGAAGGGAGGGAGGGCACATAGAGAAAGAATGGAAAAGAAGCAGCCATTAGAGGAAAATCTCCCTTTCTATTTTGGTATCACCATGTGTGAACAAGGGGCTCTCACACAACATGAAAACCATACTTGTGTTCCTTCTTTACTGAAAGTCATCATTCAGCAAATAATTACTCCCCATCCCCACCCTTGACTCAGGCACCCTCATTTCAACCTTCTAATTAGACTGCTGGCCCTTATGTCCACCACACGACGCATCAAGTGTGGAGCAGGCTGCCTCGCTGAGAAGGGGCCGGTGAGTCATCTGTGAGAAACGCAGTGGAGGAGCGGGAGTGAATCACTCAGCTTCACCTCAAGCTAGACTCCCCTCTTCCCTTTCAGCTTTGTTGACTCAGGGACAGTGACCTGGGTCCTTGAGGTTCAAGTGCTCTGACCTCGAACACAGAGCGAGCTGCATTCCTCATCATTTCCCACCAAGGGAGCAGGGAGCAGTGAGAGGACGTCACTAAGGAATGGCTGCAAAGTACTTGCCACTCTTCACAGGGGCCCTATAGGACAGGGTAGAACCACCCCCATGGGTCGCTGAGATGGGCATTCTTTACGAGAGTTTAAAAAACCTCCTCTTTTTCCCATGGAGCAGCAGGGGACTTGAATCACCCACCTTGAGGTTAGCAGCCCAATGCACAGCCCATTATGCCAGTGAGACCCAAGAGTCTTTGGGGAGCACAATGCAAATGCTCAGCTCTTAACTGGGAGGTTGGAGGTTTGAGTCTGCCCAGAGGCATTTTGGGAGGAAGACCTGGCCATTGACTTCAGACAAATCAACCCTGGAGCGCCGGTCTTCTCCGACACAAGGGGCTCACCAGGGGCTGGGACTGACTTGCTGGCCACTGGTTGATATGGCTGGTGAGTAAATTCTCATCAACTGTTCCATAAATTGGCATGGGACTGTCTTCTCTGAGCGACACTTTGCTAACCTCAAAAGCTACCAGGGAAAGGAGGAGGACGGTGTCATGGTAACAGCTTTACTTTATTGCATTAGAGTGTATCTATTCTCTCCCGGGCCATTCCATTTCATGTCACTGGATTCCATTTATTTTACTTTATTCAATCCCATTGATTTGGGTCCATTTTATTGCATCCTGTGCCATTTGGTTATGCTGTTGACAGAGGGGGCTGGGGGCTGAGGGGAGGTGGCAGAGCAGCTCTAGAAGGGAAGTGAGCACTAGGTGTGAGGACAAAGCTCGGCCCTATGGGCTCCACTCCGTTCTTCTCAGCCGATGGTGGTATCGGGAAGTCAAAAGGGGCTGTCTTGGGGACACAAGGCCGCTGAATTGTGCAGGCAGAAGTTGTTGACACGGTGTCTTCAGTTGTGTATAGTTTCACCAAGAAGAAGAAGAAAAAGAAAACGGAAAGAGAGAAAGAAAAGAAGTCTTTCCCGGGACCTGCTGTCCACTCGAGCTGGGAAGACTTGCCCTGCAGGCTGGAGGTGGCATCCCGCCGCGCTGGCTGGCCAAGAGGCAAGGGAGTCCAGTCTTCATGGGAAGGCTCTGGTCAGGTCTGGGTTTTCTGGGGTCCTCGGTGGCATAGTGGTAAAGCACTCAGCCGCTAATGGCAAAGGTTCCAGCCCACCCATCTGCTTCAGGGAAAGCGATTCTACTCTGTCCTCCCGAGTCCCCAACCAGACCCAACGAAAGCACTGCCAGTGCGACCTTCGGCCCATGGCGGCTCTACAGGACTGAGGAGCGCTGCCCCTGCAGGTTTCCAAGACGCATTCTTTTTTTTTAACATTTTATTGAGGGCTCATACAATTCTTATCACAATCCATGCATCCATCCATTGTGTCAAGCACATTTGTACATTTGCTGCCAGCATCATTCTCAAAATGCTTTCTCTCTACTTGAGCCCTTAATATCAGCTCCTCGACTACAATTCTTAACAGGAACAGAAAGCCCCCTCTTTCTCCCTGCGGAGTGGTTGGTCATTTCGAACTGCTGCCCTTGTGGACTACCGCCCAATGTATAATCACTATCCACCACCACTCCTCCATAGGGTCATTATGCATCAGAATTAGGCTGGCTAGGCTGGTAGTAACTGAGGGGGAGGCACTCATTGGGCATCAAGCTGACCTTGTGTCCATTAGACCCAGAGAGCAAGGCGACTCACCGTGCCAGGTCAAGAATGGCACTTTCTTTCTTAAACCTACAGTCTGTTGAACAATGATTACCAGTGGGGTAATCTGCAGCAACAGGAAAATCTAACATAATTGTGGTTTATGGCTCCTAGGGGCTCCCAGAGGAAACCTCAGAGCCACATACTGAGAGCATCACCCCGTCACTCAGGGGAACACTCACGGCTTTCAGGGATTAAGGAAGTTTTCCAAGTCCTTTCAGGAGAATCACAACACAATTTTCCAATCCAGGTTGATCTGACCCCAGAGCCCAAGGCATTAGCCACGGGACTAGACTCTTTCTCTGATGACTGCTGTTGGTAGTCCCTGTCTTCAGCAAGGTGTGTCCCGGAAGCCTCATACAAAACAGAATAAGATGTAGCCCAGCCCTGTGCCACCGCCGTCCATGATCATTGGTAGGTTGAACCGGTGATTGGGGTTATTGTGGCAAACCTTCATTAAGGATTTCCCCTTTTTTTTGAGCTGGCCCTCTACTAAATAAGCTGTCCTCTTCTAGCCGCTGGTCTTTTCTGAGGACATGTCCCCAGTCAGCAAGAGCAAGGGTAGCCCTCTTCACCTCTGCAGAATGTTCTGGTTGGGTTTCTTCTTCTAAGACAGATTTGTTAGTTCTGGCTGGTCTCAGTCTACTCAAGAATGTTTGCGAACACCACAACTCAAATGCATGGATTCTTCTTTTTTTTATTTTCTTTTATTGTTCAGCATCCTCATCCATCTGAAGCAATCACAGAACCCGTTGTCAGCATGGTGCACTTTAGTCATCCAAGTGGCATCTTTGCCTTTTACTCTGAAGTCTAGCTATGGCCATAATCCTGTTCTTTGTGTAAAGGGGGGTTTTTTTGGTCATATACTTCACATATCATACAATTTAATTGTTCAATCATGTTCAGAAGATTTGGGCAATCATGACCACAATCAATTTCAGAACATTTTCTTCTCATACTTGTTAGCTCATGGTTGCTACAGCCCCATTTCCCTCCATCCTCCCCTGACGTGCCTCTATCCAATTACCATCTATATAGTTCTAATGATCCTCCTGGATTTCATTTACAGAAAATCTTACAAAATACAAATAGGATGCAAGCAAGGAAGCAGAGTAAGACAACAACAGTGACTAGACAAAATATAGAAAAACCTTCATCAAAGAGAAACAGGAAGTATTAAAACTGAAGCAACTTTAAAAAATGGGTCAAAAGGAAAATCGAATAATAAGGTATTACATCTACTTTACAATTTTCTCTGTCTGGTATCAAGACTGTTCACAGTTCTTGTCTGCTGTCAGAGGGTATACAGTAGACTTCATCTAGGTGTGCACCCTGCAAATGGATTTTGGATTTCCAGTGTCACCCATAGCATTCTGCAAACAGGGTATTCACAATCTAAACTCTGATACCATTACCTCCATCGAATTTGGATTTCATTATTAATAATCCTTGGATCCCACAGGCTGCTATGCTTCTTCCATGTAGATTTAGTTGACATCTCACTTAGATTGTTGTTTATTTAAAGACAAGCCTGTAAGAGCCCCGGTTTTATTTTTTCTGACAGCCGGGCGCCATCTGGCTTCTTCACCACCCTTCGCTACAGCGTCTTTATCTTCAGTGTCTCTTAATGAGGGTGAGCGTTTGTGCTCATTTCAGTGGCACATACACTAAAGTTGGAACGATACAGAGAAGCTTAGTGTGGACCCTGCACAAGGATGACACGCCGATTTGTGAAGCGTTCCACATTTTTTATGAGTTGTACGAGCCCCAATAAAATGATTTTCAAAAAAATGAGAGTGAGCATTGACCAGGGCCATGCCATTAGAATAAATTGTTACTAGATTGAGGCAAGAATTAATTGTGAGCCCCAAATGCATTCATATATCTGTGGTTTATATATGTCTCTGGTTCACTTTAGAGACATCATTTTCATTTTATGAGAGAACATTATAAATCATTCCCCTGGGGTATAATAAAATTCTATTAATATCATCATTCATTTACCCAATGGTACAGAATTAGAAATCTTGTTGAGAAATACAAATTATGCAACTATAAGCCAGCTTTAGAGTACAAGACATGAATTATTGACTTGTAAAGATTAAACTCTTAAGTGATTGGACAGTATTTACCTAAACCATGGGGTGGGTGATAGGGCAAACTCTCAGTAGCATTCATTCACAGAGGCAGACCAGGCCTCCAAGACTAATACACGTCGCAAGAAAGCAGGAAGGGCATTAAAATAATAAATACACGGTAGTCCCAGGCTACCATTCATTAAGTAGGCTCAAAGCAAGCATAATCCCATCTCTGTTGGAGCCAGAGCTGGCCCATGTGACATGGGGAGAACGGCATATTTTGTTTTCTCACTCACTGTTTGCCCATTCTTTTCTTTGGTCAACATGGCTTTGCCATGGCCCAGCGGTGGGCCCCATGGTATGCATTGCTATGTTCATTTTCATTCTCCTGAGAGGCAAGGGCCTTGAAATACCTGTTCTGATCCCCAGGGCTCTGGCCAGGTGGAAAGGATCAGGTGTGAAGCATTCAAATTCTACCCATTGAGCACAATGCTCCTTACACATGCCTTGGTGGATCATTTGAAAGTGTGGCAAAGTCCCCTTAATGAAATGGTACGATGCCAAAGCACACCAGGAAATTAAAATATATATGAAGTTGGAGCAGTGCCTGACCCAGTTTCAAACCAAGGAACTAAGCTGCACCTTTGCCCTGCAGGCCTGCTCTCAGGCTCAGCGCCACTGCGTTCTGTTGGGACTGGCGGTCTGCATTGTACAGACACGGCTTCGATCCCACTTTGTTTTGACGAGCGAGTTGCTGCCCACTGACCAATGCCTTGCGTGTCGTTCTGAAGTCAGCACGGTAGTGCAGCTGGTTCAACGTAGAATGGAGGCCAAGACACTGACCTTGGAGCCCAGCAGGAGCCCTGGTGTCATAGTGGTTACGTGTTGGGTTTCTAACTGCAAGGTCAGCGGTTTGAAACTACCAGCCAGTCCAAGGGAGAATGAGACTTTCTACTCCTGTAAACTGTTGCAGTCTCAGGAACCCACAAGGGCAGTTCTACCCTGGCCCATAGGATCGCCACGAGCCAGAATTGACTTGCTGGCCATGAGTGAGACCTTGTGGCTTACAGTTACTTGGACAGTTATCACTCCCCTCTTCCATAACCTACTGCCATGAAGTCTACTCCAGTTCTTAGTGACTCATAGGGTTTCCAAAGCGGCAAATCTGTACAGCAGCAGATCGCCTTCTATTTCTCCTTCAGAGGGGCTTGTGGGTTCAAACAGCCGGTCTTGTGGTTAGCAGCCGTGCGGTGACCGCACATGCAGAGGGTCTGCACAGACAGAGGTGCAGTGGGATTCCTAAGAAAGACAAACAACAGGGTTAGGAGGACTGGTGCAAATGCAGCAACCAGCAAATTAATTTTTTAGCCAGCAGATATATATATATACACCATCAGTATCAGGAAGCAGGGTACAGCAAACCTAAGTGTTTATTCCAGCTAAGATATTCCGTTACTTTTCTAATCTAAGAATGACTAAAAAACATTCTGTAGCAAAAATGTTCCTTTCTTATCTAACGGAACTCGCTGCACAGGCTGTTCTCTACAAAACAAACTCAATAGACTTGATGTGCACTCCTTAACTATTCATACGCCAGAGGTAATGAAGGGTAGAGTTCAGGGCTGTGCCGTGTCCTCTCCACCACTCAGACTTTGCCTGTAAAGCGATGGTCCCCAACACAGCCCAATGCTTACCCAGTAGTATCATCAGAAATCACCTTCCCTCTTCCTTACCATGCACCAGTGTACCCAGACTGGTTCACTTCATTTAGCTCTAGCAATCCCTAGTTATGTGACCTGGGCAAATGAGGTGACCATTCTAGGCCTCTATTTCCTGTATACTAAGGATTGTAATGACTTTCTTAGAGTCTTTGTAAGGATTAAATAATTTAATGAAGTGTCGGATTATTAGCTATGAAGAAACATATGGGATATTTGCACTTTGGCTCTGGAGAGCCCCCGGAAAGAACAGAGAAGTCCCAGCTTGGAGCAACTTGTGTGGACAGTTCGACATAGCTTGTTGCCCTCATTACTCAGCTGCGCAAACCAAACTCACTGCTACTGAGTTGATTTTGACTCCTAGTGACCCTTAAGACTGGGTAGAATTCCACCTGTGAGTTTCCAAGACTAACTGTTTACCAGAAAGTCCCATGTTTCTCCCCTGGTGATTTTGAACTGCTGACGTTGTGGTCACCGGTTCAACGTGTAATCACTATGCCACCAGGGATCCGAGCCAAGAATAGGCAGAAAGAATTTGGTGGGCCTGATGTTGGTTTGCTACTGTAGTGCGTTCCAGAAGTTGAAGTTGAGATCCACAGCTGACTGATAACCCCTCGGCCATTTCCCATGTCCTAGTACAGTGCCCGGAGAGTGCAGCGTATTTCATTCACTCATACATGTTTGGACGGGGGTTGAAGTCCGCCCTCAGGTCTAGTGTCAGGCTTTGCACCCATTTGACACCATGAGCATTTGTGAGGTGTTTGGCCTTCAGGGACACTCGGGAAGAAGAACCGTGGCCAAGAGGTCAGCACTCAGCACTCTAGCGAGAAATCCGTTCAGGATGGCAACCAGTCAGCACTTGTATCAGTGCAGACTCCTACCGTTTGGTGGCCCTTGATTGGTCCGCAGAAGGATGAAAGGTTGTTAAGATGTAGACTTTGGAGGAAGGCACACCTGGGCCCAACACCAGGTTCTGTGGGGACAAGACTCACCGGCTCACAAGATCTAGGCATGATGACCTAAGACCTAAGACCCTTCTCTGACAAATAAAATCCTGGCACATTTGTACTTGTCGAATGCCCCCACTGCGTCCATGTCCAATGCGGCCCAGGTGCCTGGTCCTGGCCTGGTGCTGGGACACATTGATGAAAAGGTGACTGGCCATGATTTTGGGCCTCAAACGTTCACTGACTGATGAGAGACTCTACATCCTCACACGAATGAAGGGTCAAATGCCCTCTATCCAATGGGGCCTCAATTCTAAGATGTGCGGTGGAGTTCATAAGTGTATTTTCAATATTACTCTTATAGCTACATATTTCTAGTTTCAGAGAGGATGAAATATGAAAATATGAAAACAATGAAGTCACCTAACATTAAGAACGAAGTATGAAAAGGGCTGAGGAAATAGAAGGGAGACTGAACTCTGGGGTTGGGGAGTCTGTCTGAGAGCAGGACGCTTGCACTAGATTTTGAAGAGTAGCTTAGAATAGGGGATAGAGGGGGTGCTGTCTGTGGCAGAGGGGCAGCAGGGACTCAGGCTTGGACAGGCCAGCAGTCAGTTGTTGGAGGATGAGGTGCTGCACACCCATGGCCTGTATTGATAGTGGTGGCAAATGCCATGACGTTGGCACCCAACCCATGGCAACCCCGTGCGCCAAAACCAAACTCACTGCCATGGAGTCAAGGATGCGTCGTGACCCATAGGATGGGGCAGAACTGCCCCTGTGAGTTTCTGAGACCGTTACTCAGAAAGCCCCGGCTTTCTCCTGAGCAACAGTTGATGGTGCCCACCTTTGACCTTGAAGATCACAGCCCAATGGGTAACCCGGGCACCACCAGGGCTCTGACCCAGCACACCGCGGATCACCATACCGGCTGGTCCTGGGCCATCCCCCAATGGGATGGTGACCCACAGGCATTTCATCGGACAAGTTTTGCCAAGTAGAGCACCCCCCTTTCTTCCTGCTCTGTGGAGGTTGCTTTCGTCCTTAAGGGAAGAGAATCCTACCATGGAGCCACAGCGCCTTACCTCCCCTGCCCCTGGCCCCCAGTTGTGTTTTTATGATGAACTTCTGCGCACCTGTGCCCAGACAGGTGCCCCAACTTCAGGAAGGAGCCTGAAACCCATGGGCTCAGATCACAGAGCCGCTACTCACAGGCAGAACAAGATGACAGGTGATGATCCTTGAGCTGCTGTCTCTTTCTGAACATGAGTTCTGGAAGACCTAACGAAAGAAAGAATTCTGT